TTATAAGATTATGGACCGTCATATCGAGGTTTTACAGTATAAGATTGTAGACCCTTATATCGAGGTTTTACATTATAAGATTGTAGACCCTTATATCGAGGTTTTACATTATAAAATTGTAGACCCTTATATCGAGGTTTTACATTATAAGATTGTGGACCCTTATATCTAGGTTTTACATTATAAGATTAAGGACCCTTATACCGAGGGTTTACACTATAAGATTGATGACCCTTATACCGAGGTTTTATAGTATAAAATTGTGGACCCTTATACCGAGATTTTACATTACAAGATTGTGGACCCTTATACCGAGGTTTTATATCATAAGATTGTGGACCCTTATACCGAGGTTTTACATTATAAGATTGATGACCCTTATACCGAGGTTTTACATTATAAGATTGATGACCCTTATACCGTGGTTTTATATGATAAGATTGTGGACCCTTATACCGAGGTTTTACATTATAAGATTGTGGACCCTTATACCGGGGTTTTACATTACAAGATTGATGACCCTTATATCGAGGTTTTACATTATAAGATTGATGACCCTTTTACCGAGGTTTTATATCATAAGATTGATGACCCTTATACCGAGGTTTTATATTATAAGATTGATGACCCTTATACCGAGGTTTTATATTATAATATTGATGACCCTTATACCGAGGTTTTACATTATAAGATTGATGACCCTTATACCGAGGTTTTACATTATAAGATTGAGGACCCTTATATCCAGGCTGTATTGTGTATGAACGAGGTCCCTGATATCCAGGTTGTATTGTGTATGAACGAGGTCCCTCATACCCAGGCTGTATTGTGTATGAACGAGGTCCCTCATATCCAGGCTGTATTGTGTATGAACGAGGTCTATCATATCCTGGCTGTATTGTGTATGAACGAAGTCCCTCATGACCAGGCTGTTTTGTGTATGAACGAGGTCCCTCATATCCTGGCTGTATTGTGTATGAACGAAGTCCCTCATATCCTGGCTGTATTGTGTATTAACGAGGTCCCTTATGACCAGGCTGTATTGTGTATGAACGAGGTCCCTCATATCCTGGCTGTATTGTGTATGAACGAGGTCCCCCATATCCAGGCTGTATTGTGTATGAACGAGGTCCCTCATATCCAGGCTGTATTGTGTATGAACGAGGTCCTTCATATCCAGATTTTACTATATCAGAAAGCGGACCCTTATATCGAAGTTTCAATGTATATTAACGATAACCCTGATATCCAGATTTTACTGTATGAGAAAGAGAGCCTTTATATCGAGGGTTTACTGTACTATCGTGCACTTGTTTAGAAATGCTGACTAATCGCCAATATATACAACATATCCAAGCCAAATTAGACAAATTAATGATGCTGAGTTGTGGGCGAGTAAGTAGATTAACGAGATAGATTTTCATACCATTGATATGTAATGAGCTCATGACTGAAAGACTCTGTCCCGTTTTTCCTGGCCACACTTAATTAACGTGACTTCGGTAGATATGGTTACCAACACGATGTATACAGCTGTATGCATGTTTCACGGGCTACTTAGACACAATTTACACATTTCCTTTTTCCTGCATTTATGACCGTTGCAGCCAGGTCCTACATGCAGATATAGATAAATTTTTCATTTCTGATATACGGCTTTATCAATTTTTTTCGAAATAAATTTATAGGATAAAAAAAACATACGGAAAATAAATCTAAGGAAACTACAAGACACTGACATAACATATGACGAATAGTTAGTGTCGTTCTCTTGTCTGCAGACATCGCGTGCGTTTTGCAATAATATTCTGTCTACCAGTGGCGTTTTACTTATAGATGTTCTATGTAAAAATTCCTGGTGTAGGATGCTAATATGAGCCACTATCTGTATTCTTCTGGAGTTAAAGATTCTTCTTTTTGTATGACAAGGTTTAAACCAGTGAACAATATTTTTCTGTTGAAATTCACGTACTGATTGACCTGGTTACTTATCCATGATATCCAAAACCAAAATGTCCTTGTTTATGATCTAGTTAAGATATATCCATCTATTGATGTCTACATTGAAATGTGAACATAGAGGAGAAAAATGAATAAAATGGGAAAAAAAAAAAAAAAAAAACAAAGAAAAAAATCACCCTATGTAATGATAATTATTGCTATTTACAATTAGCGGACCTATGTATCTCACAAGAAAAAGCTCATAATATACGTCAGCTGAAGTTTATAGCTTATTGTCAAATAAATTCACTAAGACAATTTACATTTGTGTGAGAACTTCGTTTGCTCTCGCGATAAATTATAATTTACTGAATAGAACATCTTGGAATATTACAACAAAATCATACATCTTCTTCACGAAACGGCAGTAAATACGACAGAATTGAATTATCATGTCCTTTCTCACACGGTAAAAATTATTACCGGTCTTCTCAATGTCCCCGAAGCTACAAGCACCACTACGTCTTTATAGCAAGTGTTAATATTCAGTTAGTTTGAATGGAAGGGCAAGTATTTATTTATTTGGTTGTTTGTTGCCTCTGATGAAGACAATTGAATAAAGTGAATTGCAGTAAATTGTTCCAGGCTTGTCTTGATGCAGACGTTCATTGCCCGACCTAATGTATATTTTTTGTATTACAGCAGTACAAGTAAAATGGGGATATTACACTCCCAAATGCTTAGATATAGCCCATCTAAAGAACTGTGTCATCATAATAGATATATTTTTTCAATTAACGAAACATTATAAGCAAGTCTATGTCTATATCATGATATATTCACATTTACATTTCAAACCGCAAAAAATCAATCTACGAAGTACAATGTTTGCTATGTTCAAAATAATGACTTGGCTGGTGTAGTTATTTACCAGTTACCTGCAAAGAGTTATTCTTGCTGCAGCCATGTCCTTACTATATAGGTCTTAAATATTTTCGTAATTAAACGGAGAAATAAAAGATGGATGATGTAGTGTCATTTTTGTGAATTCTTTAATCTTTATTGACACTCCTACATATTCATTACGGTTGCACTATGAACTTTGTAGGTAAACCGATGTGTGTTACACACCATTGGATTTAAAACGCTGAATATCAATACAAGAGGGCATATATAGATTATGTAACGTTCTAGACGCTATAGAATTGTGTTACGGATATGTCATTTTAAAAAACACTTCTACGGTATTTCAAGTCAACGAAATTATTCGATGAATTATTCACTGCATTGAAGACGTTGAAAATCTTTACCGGTATGACTTCTTCGAGATTGTACTGAAGTAAAGTATTAACGTATTGCAGGAATAGAAATTATTTTTTGTTGAAGAAATATTGAAAACACTAAAGTCACCAAAATGATTACTAATTTGATGACATTGAAACTGTAAAAATGTTCTGAAATTACTTGAAATATTGGACCATTTCAAGCCAGTGGAAATGTCAGCTGAGTTTGAAATAGTGGTTGATTCGTTCATATTAAATGTTTACTGATTCTTTGTCGTGCTTTTAACTTCAATTTTAAAATGAATTCAGCCGTCGAATCCCACTATAGGTGTACATATTACGCTTTTACATGCTTGTTGTTTATATAAATATTTCGTTGTAGTGCTTAAATACACTCAGATATTCTGGACGTCATGATTCAGGAAATACCTATTAACCAATCAAACCTAAGGTTACCAACCATGACGTCATATTTCAAAACAGAAAAAAATTATATGTGTGTAACGTTTGCTATGGAATAGCTGGTCGTATTCTCATTGTTCCAAGGGTTGACACGTATACATTTTGTTTGTATATATCCCCCGTAATTCCTCCAGTTTTGTTTGAATGTAAAATTTGTTAATAGTGTTTGTTCGTTGATATCAGTCATTGTGGATCAAAAGGTAATTATTGATGAACAAAATATTCCTTTAAATTTAAATCCATAGTATGAAAAATTTTCAATTGCATAATTGAGAATAAATCTTTCAGAATATAATTGAGTATATATCTTTTCAAGTATGTAACATTTGAACTTTATTCTTAATATTTCTACATTTGTATGCGTGAAAAATATCCTAAGACTTAAATAAGAACACAGTCACAACGCAGGTATGAAAACAATGTTTAATGCATAAAATGATAAAGGAATATAAAAATCAACAAGATCAATTAACTGATGTAAAGCACTTTTTCATTGTTAAATGTAATTTACTTAATACAAACAAAATCTATGTAAACAGTGCCATGTTCAAAGTTTCTAAAATATCGATATATTGGGAGAAACAGAGTACAAAAACTGGTGTAAGAATTTTTGTTGATCTTTAAAGAGTTAAAAACTATTCTTCATCAGGAAACTATGTAATAGATAAAATAAAATAAATAATTATTATAATACTTTGAAATTATTATGTGATATGTAGTTAGTAAACACGTCATAAGAAAAGTGGAAATAACCTAGATCATTTCGTTACATCTACATTTATGTCTGAAAAAAGACATCTCGTCAATGTCGCAGTTCTACAAGTTTGTTCCGTGGAGACTCACCTATTACTAAGAAAACATCACATAAAATGTTAACTGTGCGTCATAATTTGAATTATTATCTCACAATACCAGATACATGCCAAGTTATACAAACGGCAGAACAAATACTCCAATAAGTTGTAATAACTTGTGCCCAATTCCCTTGTTCAAATTTATTTTGGCAATAAAATATGTTTAAACTAAAGAACAAATACTAAAAAGTAACACTATGAATGATTAAAATAATATTTGTCATCTTTTGCGTCCTTGACAATTCATCTTTAATAAGTCATATTATGATTCTTGAAATTGTGATTGAAGAGCGTATATGAATCCTATCGTTTTATTTCGTTGCAAAGGGAATATTTGAAACTATTCAAATGACCCGTTTGACATGAAAAGTATCACAGATATTCATTAATGAAAAAACACACTGAGACGTTGTTATTCTTTCTAGTAGTACAATGCTCTTTCTTAATCTCGTGCCCCTCCTTATACGGAAACTGTTCCAGCCACAAAAAGACAGATCAGCATCAGGACGGTTGAAATCTTTGTGATTGCTGAAATTAAACATATCATTTTATGCAAGATTGAATATTTTGTTAATAAATCGTCTCTACAGAACTACAGTGAAACCTCGCTATTAAGACCACTTTGGGGACTGGACAAAAGTGGTCTTAATAGCGAGGTGGTCTTAATAGTGAGGTGGATCAGATTGACCACAAAGAACCGTAACTCTGTTTAAAATAAAGAGTATATATATCATTAAGTAATATACATGTATATTATTCAACAATAATAACTAATAATAATAAACTAAAATGTTGAATTTTATGAAATGCATGTAAAAAAGACAAAATTGCTGAATTGACAGAAGAATAATTATGTATATATTCCTTAGTTTACATCATAATGTACATTTATATTTACTATTGTAAACATTGAATAAAAGGAAACAAACTATCCATTTTAAGTTCAATTGGAATTTAACGTTAATTTTGCAACTATTTCACATAAATTTACGAACACATTTACTCAGTATTTGTAACAACTTTAATGAAGTCACTATAAAGTCTTTCAACGCTTTATTTTTCACTTAAATTCGCAAACACATTATCTTTATCAGTGTATCACTCAGTACAAATTTTTCTTTTTACTTAAAAAATGAGTCCAGTGCACAATATTGCGAAGAGCTACGGATCTGGACAGCCTCCTTTCATACGTCCTTTTTACCGATCGCGATAGCTAGTTTCGTTTCCGTGGTTTCGTCATTGCTTGATAAAGTTCATCGGAGTTTAGTGACAGAGAAAATGTGTCGTAAAAAAATTGGAACACATACACGTCTTTTTATTGTTCAAACGATATCGAGAGTGTAACATTGCTACAAAAACAGTTAAAAACCCTCGACAACGTGTGCGCGTGCAAGCCAAGGAATATCTGCCGAAACGACTACATAATTCACTTTTGGGTAAGCAGGGCTTCTAAGGTGTTAACAGCATACCTACCGATCTATCAATATCTAATTAACAAACAACAGATCGCTATTAAAACGTGTCTAGCACGCGGTTTCGGACGGGTATGCCAAGTTAATCCGATAATGATGTTTACTTCGTTTAACGCCAGCTGGTGACAGGGTCGGTAACCCGTGACGAAAACAATGGTCGTGAACGACACACATGTTCGCAGTTCACTGCCCACCAGGTAAACTTTAATCACTGGTCAGACCGTGGTCGTAATTGTGAGGTCAATTATCGTTAATAAGTGGTCGTTGGGACTGTAGGAAGTGGTCGTAATACGGAATAGCGGGATGGTCGTAATACTGAAGCGACCAATACAAAGATATATAGTGGAAAAAAACGGGACTGAAAAAAGTGCCCGTAATAGCGGGGTGGTCGTAATTTTGAGGTGGTCGTTAGGTGAGGTTTCATTGCCATAACTCTGAGGTCAGCAATTATTTGCTCCCATCTTTATGTTATTAACATTTTCCCTTTTCGTACATCAGCCTAGCGTTACCTGTTAATTTTTTTCACGTGTACGTTTCAGTGTAGATATAAAAGACTATAATTCAAATATGTTCCTTTTACAAGTTACACATATCTCAGTATTGTACGCTATATGAAAGATTGGTTTACCTTCTGTAGCTCCGGAACCGGCAGCGCCAGCGCCAGCTGAACATGCAGTTGTACATCCCGCATATACTTCCGTTTCGTCACTTCCGTCATCGCAGTCTTCGGAACAGTCGCACTTAAATGATTCTTCGATACAACTTATGGTTGAGGGATTCGCACACGAAAACCATCCGGAGGGACAATTCTGAAAACATTAATGCTACTTATGAAAAAATGTAAAATATAGCTGATTATAAGCATATAATGAAATTAGAAAATGAATTTGGAATAACTACAAACCAAAGTAATGTAAGAGTATTTAACCGTATTATCTGGTTTATGGATGTAGATTTAATCTTCTAGAGTAACATATAGGACAACTTGAATGTAAAAATATAAATATTCCAGAATCAATTAGTTCATCTATATGTTGTTTCTCAAAATATAAACCTGAAGAGTTTTGTAAATATATTCAACAAGGGACACACAAGGTTGGCAAAAGTCATCACTTTTTACAAGATCGTACAAAAAACGCACAAATGAATATCACCTCTTTTTGATCATATTCTTTAACAGAATTTACAACAAATATTCTATAAAAATAATGATGACGAAAATCACTTTTCCTTTGCATTTTCTTTTAAATTGGCGAAATGTCGATATAGAAACGAACCATGGTTACTGTAATGTTATTTAACTTCTTGGAAATTCTTAATGTGAACTGCATCATGTACAGCATAGGTATCTTAATCAATTTGCTAATGTAGTTGTTTCATATTTATAGTTTAAATAATCATTACGTAAAAACGCTATTGTATAGATGAAACATCTTTACCGACGAAATCTCTCTACTAAGTGCTTATCTGACCTGTACATAGGTGCCAGGGGAAGGGCTCGGGCAGGCAGCAGAGTTACAGGACTGGAACTCGCTAGAATCTCCAACACACTGGAGGCCACCATTAGCTGGAAGTGGGGAATCACAACTTCGTGCGCGCGACTGCGTTCCTCCTCCACAAGTGACCGTGCACACTCCGTAAGATCCCCAAGCTCCCCAATCTCCATCGACTGATTTTAACGCAAGTAAATAAAATATAGCTCATTCAGGAAATCAAATTGCATTAGTGCCATTTATCCAACTCACTTATGTTTATATTTTACAAAAGAACTCATCATAAATTGTATCAAATTTGAATCATTGAAGTAAGTTAGTAAGTAAATTATGCGGATTCTGAAGTTCTACAATCGCATTTTGTCTGAATTTTATCGTTAAAATAAAAAAATAATGTGATCTGATATAAAGGTCACTCTCATTGTAAAATATCAATATACTTACTTATACAAACAGCCGTGTTACAATCCTGACTCTCAAAGTCCGTTCCGTTACAACTAGCACCTCCGTGGGCGGGGGAAGGGTTGGTGCAGCTACGGGTTCGATCCTGGGTGCCACCTCCGCACGTGACAGTACACACGCCCCACGCTGACCAGTCGGTATATCCGCCATCAACTACATAAAAAACATTACCATTGTATGAAGTAAGGAAGATGCTAAATTATCATCCTTCTTTATAATATTTTGATTTTCCTTGTTTCAAATGCATTTTAATATTTATGATAACAAACGTGTTTTCTGTGCCGTATCCACCTACTTGGACAAGGACTAAGGGTGCAATCAGTCATCTCTGAGGCGTCTCCTGTACAGTTGTTGCCGCCATATTGGGGGGTGGGACTGTCACATGCGCGTGTGCGGTTTTTGACACCATTTGCGCATGTCACAGAGCAATCTCCCCATGATGTCCAAGGTCCGTACTCGCCATTTACTGAACAAAGAAGATTATAATTATATTAATGATCGAAGACAACATTATTTATTGAAAATCCACTTACAAAAACATTAAGATTTTTATGCTTATGTAAAACCCATGATCCCATAAGTTTAAACACAGAATTAAGTATGTATCAAATCGGCAGTTTTCGTCCGACTTCACTCTCGCGAAATTACCCTCTGTATTTTATAAACAACAAAGGTTCAATTACTTACTGGGACAGTAGGTACTTGTGGTGCATGACTGTGTTTCAGTACCATCTCCAACACACTGAGCACCGTCATATGCCGGAGCTGGATCCGAACAGTTTCGAGTTCTTTCCATCACTCCAGTCTGTGATGATCCAAAGTCCATGCAAGTCAATGAGCAATCACCGAAGGATCCCCAGCTAGCCCAATTACCGTCAACTGTAAATATGTGTTGATATCATCATTATACAATTATTAGTTATTCTAAATCGAGTGCATGCTCTTTTATGGGAAAACGAACGTATGTAAAGGAGATCTATTGAAGATGATATTTTGACGAGGTACAGTTGTCTGTGGATGCAAAAAGCGACAAAGATTATATTTTGAGTTGTAATTATTATTTCTGAAAATTACAAACGAGATTTTTTTCACTCAATTTATTCAGAACGTAATTTCACAGGGACTTACAGAAGGAACGAAATGCCTAGGGATTCTGTTTGCAATTATGGGCAAATTTCACGAAGAAATGATTTATAAAACGTCGACATTATTCATTTCAAAGACAAAGTATCTATATTATCCATAGTTACAATTGTGACATCAGTATAATGACGACTCATGGAAAAGGTAATGCCATATAGAGTCAACAGTGCCTTAAGAATAAAAAATAATCGAATTACAATCGTGAAATCATGACATAAAACAATATTTTCGTACTTGGGGCAGGTTTGGCACAATCTTCATCAATCAAGCCGTCTCCGTCATCATCTACAACATTTCAAAATAAGATTACGTCATGATATGCCTCATTAAGTCATTAAGTAGATGGAAGAACTACTTGTAAATTCTTGAACATATTGAATGTGCCAATACCAGAACTATGTGCTGTGCAGCGTCATCATTATATACAATATAACTATAATGGTAATCCGAGTATCATATTATGTAGTTATATCTATATTCACATTTGATGAACTTTGTCTTTTTATATTTTTAACTTTTAACATTTGATATAAGTGCCCGAAGGAATGAAATGTATATGTGACACGTGAATTTCGTGAAAATTAACTGACCTGCGTAATTATTAGCTGTTGTACAGAGTTCCTCATCTATGAGACCGTCACAGTCATTATCAACACCGTCACCCACAACAGAGGTAGTGTTCACGCAAACCTGGTGAAATAACACAACTTCTTTTTTATTTCAAACTATATACTAACTTCAGGCATACACTAGGGCTTCATCTTTATAGGAGAAAATGCTTCACCGTGTCAATACCAAGCAATGTACCGGCTGAAATTAAACTTGCTCTCGTCCTTTTTGCAAACTTAAAAAGAATCATCGACATTCCTGAAAAAATGTATGCTACTCTGCACATCGCCTGCAATTTTATCATTAACTACATAAAATAAGTGTAACATGTTTCAAGAGCATGATCGGTTAGATGACAAATTCTTTCATAAACAATATTGTTTATATCAGAATATTGAAATCTAACGATCCACTCATAGATTAAGATAGAGTTTACAATAATGTTCACTCAAACTTAGCACATCCTTCACCCCCATAAACGTAACAATACTAAAGAGATAAATATTTACTCTCAACCACAACTGTATATTGAAGAAATGATAACATTGGCGTTATTACGACTTTTGAAAGGCGTAATTACACTTTTATTCGCGTAGTAACGCGATTTTTTAAAAAGAATTTCCCCTTCAAAATTGACCTTTTTAGGCTTTCGTAGTTTTTATATTGCTGGCCGATAAAATAATAATCAGGCCATGAAATGGCATCCAACGATATTTCATATTATTTAGAAATATGAATGAACGCATGACATTATGCAGATCTCCCCGAGGTGATATTTATATTCAAATTCGGGCGACGGATCTGCAGACTGCATCGACAGGTTTCGAATAATTTTCTCCAGGCTTTGCTCTTAGAACGAAAGTAGGGGGGAAAACACGGAATGCAATAGCACCAATCTTAAGTATTATCAAATCTTATATACTGATTTATGAGAAATGATATCAATTAGTATGTTATGAGCTCTGTATCAATGTTAAATACTTACGGTGTTGATTGGGGCCATACGCATACCAGTAGTAAAACCGTATGTCTCGTATCTGGCTTGGCCGTATAAATATCCTCCGAATATGGAGATAGTAGAGGTGTGCCGAACGGTATGGGAGCCATGGCTGACGGCGACATATCCGGCGACGTACTCGGTACCACTGATGGAGTTATAAGTGGTACTAGGAAACACATCACCGTCGAGTCGGAGTCCATCCTTCTCTGAATCTTTCACCACAAACATGAAGTAGTTACTGTAAGATCCCTGTAAAAGAATCACCAACATGTTTGTATCAAATTCGAAATGAACTATTGAACATCCAATTTTTGCATTCCTTGGGATAACGTTTCATTATATATGTTATTTATCGAAGATTTATCTCGTTTGACCTAAAAAGATGTTAAAACCCAAGGAAACCCTGATCTGCTAGAATATTTGGTTAATAGCAAACCATCAAACGTATGCTGTCGTACATTACAAGTTGAAAAATAAAATGTATTTTTGATTGAGTATAATTATCATCTTCGTTATCAAACATTGCGGATATGACACATCTACCATCTGGTGCTTTAGAAAACCAAACCGATACTTATGCCGAATGGTTGATTAAAATTGTAAGATTTACACCATTGCAGTACAGACAGAAAAAACCAAAAGACACAACCCTGGTGTCTTAATCAAACTGACAAAGACAGTATATTGTAGGATATTAAAATCATTTTATAAAGCTCCATTGTGCAATGAAACAAATAGCATACCGTATTTCACACTTAACATAGAGCTCCAATGATTCTCAGAGTTTGTTTTTTAATTTACGTACCAAAATATAAATATTTCGACCAATTCCTTTCGAAGACATTTGAACAACAATTTTGAATTTCTTATGTTGCTTTAAGGCAGTAGTGTTAAAGGAAAGAATTACCGATTGCATTGAAAGTGCCCAGCCAACATTATTACAGTATTGATGTTTTATTCCTTAGTGCAAATGAGTGTATGTGTTACATTTACCTGGGAGTACCTTGGTGTTGCAAATGTGTAATCAGCTGCGTACTGTTCAATTGGTGGAATAATCATCATCATCGGATCGGATTGTTCTGCACTGGACTGCTGGCTCAAGCAAAACTGCACCACCAGAATGGGTTTGTCGGACGTGACCTTACAATAGGCGGTAGACGGGATGTCCTTCTCAATCATGTCACCAGCGTTAGTTATGGTAAAGGTGTCAGTGTATCCTCCTGTGATTGTTATTACTGTTGAGGCCTCGCTGGATATAAACCGGAAGTAGTCACCAACTGTTCGCAAAGGAATGGGAACAGTAATGAAATTCTTTCCCCAAGAGTCAACACGTGTAATTTGTTCAACTAAATGATCAGAACTTCCGCCTGCACCAATCTTGGTTTTCTTGTTTCCGCTGAACACGGCGACGTTTTTGTCAGCCGAGATCTTGGTTCCGCTAAGATCACCGGAACTGTAGAACTGAAAGGTATCGAATCTGTCCATGGAAAGAGCAAATGTATTCCCCGCGTAATAATATGTACTGTCATAGTAAACATAGTCATTACTAAGTGATGACCCCAGGGTCACGTTAACGGATGTGGTATCGTTTACGGCAGCAATCAGAATCTCACACTGTTGTGATGGAGGGTAGTATGTAACGGCATAATATTCTTTACCAATAACATCAGTGGGCAGACCAAGAAAGGCATCACAAGAATACGTTTCCTTATTGACTCCATAAATCACCACTTCGTCATCTGCAGTTATCCATATTCCTTTGGAATCCATATTCGTTCCTGACATACGAATCAGTGGCGAGAAAGCTAACTCTTTGACATAACCAGAAGTAACTGTGAAACTTTCGCTGATTCCTGCTGATGGATAACGTGGTGCTGTAATCTGAACATTGACCGTAGTTGTTTTCATAGTAGTTACGAAAAGTTCGACGTCGTAATTAGCCGCGATATTTTCCATGTAGCCAATTATAAATTCGATTCCAGCATTATCGGGTGCACCTGCAATTGAAAACGCTTGTTTCCATTTTTTTGATAGTGTACTTTCAAACTACAATCAAAAGACAGTCGCCGTCTCTTTATTCTAACAACTTGTCAACCTATCTACAAATTTTCACCACATACAAATATGCTATTCATCCTTAAAATCACACAATCATGCATATAATGAATAATCAACAAAAATAAAGAATAATACTCACAGAACGCTGAAACGAGCATGCACGCTGCAAGGACCACGGACAGCATAACTGAATAGAAGAAAAGACGTATAAGTATTGCTTAAACAAGCACAAAAATATCATGTAAAGCATTCAATTGCACCATGCCAAATATGTAATTAAGATTTTCAGTATCATCGGTATTGCTGATATTTGTTAAGAAAATGAAACCGAAATATCGTTTAGTTAATTCGAATTTAATATTGTATCATAGTAAAGATGAACAACAATAAAACAATCAAACCCATATGTTTGTAAGTTCAATTCCAATTTCAGTCTTTAGAAACAATATTCGACCTTTAAAAAGTTTTATTTTGTTTTTTGATATTAGCAAGTAAAATTCTTCGATTAAAACCAGCTCCGGTTGCTATGACATCACAACTTTTGAACTACCATGTATGTACCAAAATTGCTGTAAAGTCGAATTTTAGTGGTCATTCTTACATATGCTAGCTATAGCTTTCATTTCATGTTTGAATCTCTGGACTTGATTATGAAGTCCCGTTTAAACTCTTGTTCTATCCGAAGTCAGAACACACTGCTGTTAATTAACTAATACTACCAAGATGTCTAAACACGTGAGTTGAATATGTATTTTTATCCTTGTGGTAAAAAAAAAATCGAAAATAAGACATTTGTGAAAAAATATATGACAAAACTTAATTATAAACATTTTAACGGAAGTTATACTTGTGGTGTTTCAAGCTACTGAATTCTTCATTTCATTATCGTAATAAGGCATTTATCAATGTTTATAAATGTAGATTGAGATTAACTATGGTTGAATTGCTCCTTGCAAAATTTCCCTCTACAATAGCACATAACATGTTTTAAGTATATACCTTTAGCCATGTTGCTGTCTAGAGATCCCCTGTCAACGAATGCTTCTTTCTCGTCTGTTAGATAACTCTATGCTCTAATGTTTATAAGAACCTGAAAATTCCCGTGATAAGCATTGTTGGATTGGCCATTACTCATAGATATATTAGACACACAATACTTGTCAATGATCCAATGTTTATTGTTGAAATTATGTTTTGTAAGATAATTGTCCGCATTGTAAAACAAATTGTTTAAAATAAAACTTACTTGTCAGGTATTTAGTTTGTAAATGTGCGCACAAAAAAGTATGAGTTAGTCTACCCCAATATGTCATGTTTATATATTTATTTAACGTCAGAGCTGATACTTTAAATCTACCAGGAATGTAATTACAATAGCCACTGCCATGGTGAAATAAAGGATAAAAAGAAGCTTATTAGTTAGTAATCTATTTGGTGACACCTGTGATGTCGACATCGTTTTGTAATATCTCTGGTGAAATCATTACATATCTGATACCTCATGTCTGATATTAAGGTCAATGTCGACATCGTTTTGTAATATCTCTGGTGAAATCATTACATATCTGATACCTCATGTCTGATATTAAGGTCAATGTCGACATCGTTTTGTAATATCTCTGGTGAAATCATTACATATCTGATACCTCATGTCTGATATTAAGGTCAATGACAATTAAATGTGTTACCAGAATAATGTATATAAGGTGATGAGAGAAGACAAACGAACAGATACACAAGTGAATTGCAAATTTAAATACAACTTAAGTATGAGATACAGTACAGCCAAATTACTAATTAAACTACAAATGAAACATGTGCACTTTACGGGTCGCCTGAGTAAGTTATTATTAAGTTTTATGGTATTTTCGGTCAGCTGTGATAGATGTACTCAATGCAGTCGCTAGGATACGGTTGTGTCTTGAGTTTCTTTTAAGGAAAAAAAATAAGAATAACTATCTTCATCTAAACCTACTGTCATATGTTAGCAATGACATGCTTTCAAAGTAAAAACGAGGATAAGTAGTGATGCAGAAAGGATTAAGGGAGCATAGCTGAAAAAACAATCTTCATTATGACACTTCAATCTACACCATTAGTTCGAAATTAGGATTCTATGTCAACTTTGCCAATGTTGGAGTGAGTTCTGGGTCTATGGCGTTAACTAAGGAACACATGAGTGAATGGTATAACTAGGAACACCTTCATTAGTGATATCTGCGAAAAAATATATTGTTAGAAAAACAGTAGAAAGTGTTGTTTTCGAGAATGTAATTAAATCGGGAAACAGATCTATACTGACAATTAGAAAAATAGAGATTACCATGATTAATGTCATACATTCCATGAAAACTATTTCCAGCATTTAGTAAAACTAAGAAAACCATTGAGAGGTGTAAAAAGGTGTAATTTATTCTAAATAACTACAAAAATCAGGGCTCCATGTAAACGTAATCTTGGATTTTCTGAAGGCCGTTATGCCAGACATGCACATTTTTGAAATATTTAACATTCTGTTGAAATACCAACCAAAAGTCTGGGAAGACTTTTCTCTTGTCCTGCTTTGAAATATTGTAAAATGTTCTTTTAAAAGATACTTGATCCTGGATTTGTATCATTTACTACGGGCAATAGCGTCTTATTTGAATTTACGGGAATGGTAGAAATTTGGGTTAAGTGGTTGTTATGTGACCTATTAGTACATTCACTTGGCGTGATGAAGTAGTATAACCAGTAATTTTTAGTATGCTCAAAATGATTTGGGACATCTGGTCTTATTCACCTTGTTCTTTTTCATGAGTTTCCGCGTAAAGCTTTTTTTATTCGTATTTTGCCCTAGTTATATTGAATTTGAGTTTGATTATGTGGACATAATGGTATCTTCTTCTTATTGCAACTACTTCAGACCTTTGAATAATGGCGACCATCATTTGCTATGTTGATTTTTTTTTATTTGTATTGGACCTTAATTTGCTGTTTTGACTTGTGAGATTGCGCCTTAATTATTAAGGTTGATTGATCAGATAAACTAAAATAGATACATACACCAGACCCTTGAGACACTACATAACGATAACGCCATGTAAAGTTTGATTGAATCAGAGAAGAGGGCTTGGGTTCAGCCAAGCAGGCAAACAACACTATCACGATTTAAGTAATGATTGCTGGCCACTCCTCGACATTATTATTCAATTAAAGAATAACACGTATTGATGTACGTCATCCATCAAACACAGAGTAAACGAGGAGTTGATATTGTTTACTAAAAAACAGAGCATCCACTTACAGAAATAAATTAATTCTATTTTTAACAGTATGATAATCGAATATTTTATTTACCTCAACATATGGCAGGGGAGGGGGATCTGTATCTATGTTTATTTTACTATATAGGATTTGAAGAGAAAATAATTTTATTTAAAGTCGAGGTGTTGTTTGACTATAGAGGCCACGATTTATCACCCGGTGCGTGGTTCCCTACCCACAACAGTTTTTGTTTCAATCACAGGATGCTGAATCCGTGAAAACACTTTACCTTTATATACCTGGACGGTATGTGACGTGTGTCTTTTATGTTAAGTGAGATTGCCACAAGCAAATATAAGACTCCACCTTGAAATGTCTCTGACTGGTCAAGGGCTGATAACCCCAGCAAAATACTAAAAATGTACAATTCATTTTTTAATCAAAGCATTTTGTCGCTATTGTAAATTAAGTTTCCCCGTCGTTTACTTCACTTGAAGAGAACATCGTTTTGCCTTATGCTAAATATATTAAGGATAATGTCTGCGTGCCATAAAATGAAATAAGTACAGACTTCCCTAAGCATGTTGGGTCACACAAGGTACTACCGGGTCAGTTGTTTGGAGAAGGCTTCGATCAGGTAAGCACATTGTGTATTTTTGTTACCTGAATACCTCCGGTCAGTAGGACAAACACTATTACATTTACCGGATTAAATAAAACAATATTTAAACAACTGTAGACAATGCCGACTATATAGGATTAAGAAAATATATAATATTGAAGTCTATGTTATGATTAAGTATGAGGTCAATATTCTGTCCTTGCCTTAACCCTGTAAAGTCTACCCCAAAAGGAGAGAGAACTGCAAACATGATTAATTATTATTGACCAATCACTGCCTGACGAATTCTAACGACAATGATAACAATGCCATCAATATGAAAGTTTGTCAAACTATCACACTAAAGGTGACTGCTACCATAGAGAATGAAAGAATCCTTCGTTTTGAGTACACCAGTATATCATGAGACTGATGAATTCCATAACTTAACAATAACAAAAAATCAATATTTTTATGCCTCTGCCATTTAATGGTGTGGGGTGGGATGTATTGAGGGATATTATATTACCCATGTAAGACTCTTACATCTCGTTCCGATCCATTATCATCCATTTGACTGATCATATTTACATAGCAGCGAGGAAATTCATGTCTTTTGTACATTTTCTGTTTTTAATTATGTTATTTTCCCCGGAACTTCTAGTCTGCGTTGAATTCTAGGATTGGCCATGCTATCAGCATATGTTTTAATCTGATATTGCACATCACTGGTGTTATATGAGACATGAATGTACTTATGAAATCAAGAAAGTTGATACTTTTTATTCAACAACAATAGCGAGAATGTACTATTGTTTTGCACTTATTACATCTCTAACCAATTGTCATGAATTTAAACAACATTAATAGCATTGCCGTTATTTTCGAAAACGCACGCTTTATAAGTAGTTGCTTAGCAACACTAAGTCATGACATATGTATATCGGGGGGGGGGGGGGGGGGGGGGGGGGGGGGAGGTAATTTAGCCTAAACTATTAGCCAAAACAACAATCAATTCTCTAATCTCAATCTCTATTTATTGCGTTTCTATAATTTATAATTGTACTGTAGATAGCTCTTGACTAGAACTGCTCTGACAAAGGGAAAAGGAAGTGCGCTGCAGCTCCTGTTTAATTAAAACAAATTATTCAGGCCTATTGTTTATGCTGCACTAAAGTACATGAATGCAAGCTGATATCGACGCCGATCATCGAGAACCATTCCTGTGCTATCTATAGCAGTTATTCTTTTTCAAGTCTGTCGTCTGATTAAAATGCTCTTAAACAATGATGTTAGGACTATGGTACGTGTGCTACTGTACTTAGAAACAATGGCAAGTGTTCAAACTTTACAAAGCTTATTGTAAGTGTAATCACCTGGTCCTATTTCTTGTTCAGCCTTACGTTACATTTTTTTGCAGTTTTGCTAGCGTCCATACATGAAGGTGATCAGTCATTTGCCCCAAAATCTCCTTCACCGAAGTGATGATAGTGATCCAAGGTTGAAGGGCGCAGATATGATTGAGCAGTAATATTACGAAACGAAAAACGAACACAACAAGAAAATGTAATTTATAATTCAAACAAAATTCTGTTAAACAAAGCAAGAACAAAAGAAAGGTTTACAAGTAGACTACTCTAAAATCCAGGGAGAATAAGACCAGGTCTTCTGGAAGAACAAGCGTCTTCTGCTTCATCGACGACACTCGCCACATAAACATTGGTCTATCCAAGTAAGTATTGTCAAGTTCTCAATTGAAAACAAGTTATACAACGCAAGCAAACGGCAAGCTAACAAGCACCAAACATGTCCAGCTTCATATTGCGCAAAGAAATATAATTTCTTAATGAGATCAGTATTTGTACCGTAAAACTCACCCATAATTTCACAATCTCTTTCTGATATCTGTGATTAGGACATAGATGATTACTTTAGCCTTCCAACTGCTTTCCACTATTTGTTCAGAAGTCAAAGAAAGATTGGTGATGCGGAAGAATACCCCTAAGAATTGTTCATAGCAAAAAATAAAATAGTTATGGATTTCTATAGAAACAGTGCTTCTAAATAATGTTCATCTTTATGTCATAAATGCAGATCTTAATCCTGTAGAACACGCCGGGTATATGGAAACGAGTAGGTATACCATCTAATCCGTTACGACT